GCCTTTCCCAGCTCACAGGGAATTCCCTGTGTCCCAGCCTTTCCCAGCTCACAGGGAATTCCCTGTGTCCCAGTCTTTCCCAGCTCCCCGCTCTTCAGCGCTGCGCCCAGGAGCCGTGTGAAGGGACCGGCGCAGGGAGCTGGGGGTCGCTCCCGGCCCCACGCTGGGCTGGGGACATCCAGGTGTCTTACCGGGAGCGTTGGCACCCGCAGGGTCATCAACGCCGACAAGTCGCGGTTCAACGAGGACCAGGCGGCGTGCTGCCACATCTCCGTGCGACGGCGGGAGCCGGGCCAGGAGCAGCACGAGGAATGGCTCATCCTCTGCTCCACGCAGGTGCGTGGCCAGCGCTGCGGCTACGGGAAACACAGGCATGGGATGGGAAACACGGGCTGTCCCGGCCGTCCTGCACAGCCTGCGCCCCGTCCTGGGCTGGTTTGGGGGTCCCAGCTCCCCCTGACCGGCCAGCAAAGGCCCAGCTCTGCCTGCACGGGCATTTGGGCACCTTATTGCTTGGGCTGTGCCGCTGCTGTCCTGCCTGTGCCTTGGGGCATCCATCTACCCCCTTGCTCTGCTCTCAGCRCCCTGGGGACATTCATTAGCATCACTCAGAGACAGCAAGGTGTCCCAGCACCTTAGGGTGCTGGGGAGARCTGTGCGTCTTCAGCAAGCAGAGCCGGTCCATCGTGGGGGACGATGCCCTTGCAGGTCTGGGAGGGCAGCAAACGCCTGTCACGCCAGTTTGCGCCGTGCAGGGGAGTAACCAGTTGCAGGCAAGGGCAGAAARCACCCTGGAATGATCCTGCTGGCTACACGGCCTCGCTCCTGCTGGTTCCCTCTATTCCTTCCCCATTTTGTCTCCCTTCCCCGCTGCAGTATCTGACGGGTTCCTACTGGGCGCTGTTCGACGGCCACGGCGGCCCCGAGGCGGCCAGCATCGCCTCCAACTATCTGCACTACTGCATCAAGCAGAAGCTGGAGGAGGTGGCGGGCGCGCTCGCGGCCGCGCCGCCTCCCATGCACCTGAGCGGCCGCCGCGTTTGCGGCAGCGACCCCCAGTTCGTGCAGGAGAAGCAGATCCACACCGAGGACCTGGTGGTGGGAGCCCTGGAAAACGCCTTCCAGGAATGCGTGAGTTCCCCTGCCAAAGGCGTAGACCTTTTAGACGTGGTTCCCTGTCCAAAACGGTCCTTCRTGTCCAGCCCCGCAGCAGCTGTGCTGGTTGTGCCCAAGCAACAGGGTGTTTTGCCCCCCTGGTTTCCTGGGGGCTCCGTGCAGCCATTGATACCAACTGGATACCAACTAGGAGGCACAAGGTTGCTCTGGAAATGAGCACCACCACTTACATCCCTCTCCCGACCTGTTTAAACCAACAGGATGAAGTAATCGGGCAGGAGATGGAGGCTACGAACCAGACGGGAGGCTGCACGGCCCTGGCAGCCCTTTATTTCCAGGGAAAGCTCTACGTGGCGAATGCTGGGGACAGCAGGTGAGCCGCAGAAARGGGGGCAGTTGCCAGGGGGCTGGCAAACAAGCAGAGTGTCCCTCACCTTGCTTAATCCCACAAATGGACCAGTCTTTTCCATGCTGCCCAGCTGTTTTTGTGGTGCCTGCCCGTGGAGTTGGCAGATGGATGGATGGATGGATGGATGGATGGATGGATGGATGGATGTGCTTGTGCCTGCTGGCACAGGCACAATACAGAAGCTCTGCAGTGATGCAGAGGACGCTGCCCAGCGCTCGGTCTCTCTCCCTTGCAGGGCAATTCTTGTCCTGAAGGACGACGTTGTGCCCATGAGCTGCGAGTTCACACCCGAGACGGAGAGGCAGCGGCTCCAGCACTTGGTGAGCGACTCCGGTCGCGTGTGGGATCACCCAGCCGGAGCACGTCCCTAGGGGAGGGMCACGGAAAGCTCCTGGCCGGAGCACAACTTCCATGAAGGCTGCAGTAGGCACAGGGTGACCAGAATGTCCTCTGTCACTAACCCTGAAGGGTTGGGGACAGGATTCAGCCCACAGCTTTTAGTACTGGAGAGGGCCACCTCCAAAGCCCTGTAACACGTTGGACCTTCTAATGTGCCTCCCAGTGCTCTTCTCAGGCTTTACCCCTTCTGCAGACAGGGATGTCAGTCCCACGGCAGGAGCAGGACGTGGCTTTGGCGCCCACCTCTTCCAGAGCAGAGTCCCTCCGTCCTCATGCCCCTGTTCCCTCCTCCAGGCCTTTCTCTTCCCCAAGCTCCTGGACGGCGAGTTCACACGCTTTGAGTTTCCACGGCGGTTGAAGGGGGACGACGTGGGCCAGAAAGTCCTGTACCGGGATTACTTCATGGAGGGCTGGTGAGTCCCTGGAGGAGGAGAGAAGAGGAGGAGGAGAAGAGGTGGAGGAAGAGTCCCAKGGAGGCTGGTGAGAAGAGCCGGCTCGACGGGGCAGAGCTGGGGCAGGCGACACAAATGACAGTGAGTGGCTACGCAGGAGCAGTTCCCGTGCTGTAGGAGCTGAGCCCTTGGAGGCAGGCCAGGAAACAGCTAGGAGGGACAGTCCTTCCAGGCTCCTGCAGAGCGGAGCAGGGACAAGGAGCCTTGGGCAGGCACCACCTGGGGACAGGGAGAGAGCTGGGCATTCCCTGTATCTCCACACATCTCCTCGTTTCTCCCTCACGCAGCTCCCTGGGAATGCCCCGAGGCTTAAGTAACAGCTGGGATGCCCACGTTAAGTTGTCCCCTCGAGTCAGATGAAGCCCAGGTCAACACGGAATCTTCTGTTCTAGGGGCTACAAGACAGTGGAGAAGGCCGACCTCAAGTACCCTCTTGTCCACGGCCACGGRAAGCAGGTACCTGCGCATCTTACACCCTGATCCAGAGGCGAGTGTGCCGGGGCCTTGGAGCATCCCGTCGCTCCGGTGCTGCAGAGCACCCGCTGCTGCACAGCCCAGCACGAGTAACTGCAGCCCCCTTTGCTAGCTGAGGGCTGCCTGGTAATGAGAGCAGAGCAGGACAAGGATAGTGGGAACCATCCACACCAGGCAGTCCATATGTTCAGAGCAGCACTTGGAGAAGGATCATATACTCTTCTTGCAACACACACCAGTCAGGAAAGCCACGTAATTTACCTCTAAAAGCACTACACGCTGATTTTCAGAGCTGTTTGCCTTGTTTCCATCCAGGCTCGCTTGCTGGGGACTCTGGCCGTCTCTCGAGGGCTGGGGGATCATCAGCTCAAAGTCATCGACACCAACATTGAAGTGAAACCTTTCCTCTCGTGCATTCCTAAGGTGAGTCGCGGCACGTGGGAATGCTGGAATTAAACACATTGCTCCCCCCTGCAATAGCCCAGCTTTACAGACCTGGCCTTGTCCTGTTGGCACCCCATCTCTCTGCTTCCCAGAGAGTCCCCAGGGTTGCAGTGACCTAGAAGCACAGCAGCAGAGCAACAGAAAGTGGTCAGGGCACAGAGGGGACCAAGTTACCTGTCAAGGGAGCCCTCTCAGGCCCCTGCTCTCTAACACTGCAGCATGTGAAGCTGCTTCCAGCTTCCTGACCACAACAGGGTCTGCTCACAGGCTGTGATTACCCAGAGAAACTAGAGGATCACAGGCTTGGCAAATGCTTCTCCAAAGCCAAATGCAACAGGGGAAACGTGGCAACCCTCGGTAAATTCCTGGAGTTCTCCTTGTGAGAAGTCCCTGTGCTTTCCTCCTGCTGCTTTCCAGGTGAAGGTGTTTGACTTGGCTCTGCATGACATAAAGGAAGACGACGTCCTCATCATGGCAACCGACGGCCTTTGGGATGTTCTGGGCAACGAAGAGGTGACCCACATGGCCAGGAGCTTCCTTGCAGAGAACAGGACAGACCCCCACAGGTAACACCCATGTCACCCTTGCCACAGCTCAGTGCTGCTCTTAAGGAACAGCATCCTGGTAAACAGAAACTCATATCCCTTTTACCCCCAGGTTTTCACAACTTGCCAAGTGCTTGGTATGCAGAGCAAGAGGGAAGAAAAGAGGCCACCAGTGGATGCTGGATGACAGCCACGAAGCCTCCTACGATGACATCTCCGTGTTTGTCATCCCCCTGCACAACAGGGATGAGAGGTGCTAGCATGGCCCACGGGGCCCCCCTACTGYGGGGCTGCATCAAAGCACCGCTGAGGGACCGCTGGGGTGCAGCTTGCAGTGAAACCAGTCGGTTCCAGTAAAGCCCCMCCACGTGGAACCTGACAAACCTCATACAAGAGGATCGAGAAGATTCTCTTTATGAACATGCAAGGAAGGAACAGTGGGCAGCAAGTCATTCCTCTTGCTCCGTCCTCTCTGTTGTGCTAATGAGAGGCTCCAAGGCAGCCACAGAAGCTCGAGAGCCCTATTTCCAACATTTTCCTGGTGCACTTGGTCTCCAGTCCACATTGGATTGACCTTTTCAGTTTGCACAAGAGCTCCTGCCAGGCTGCAGAATTGCTGCATGTGAATGGCAGCTGAGCTTAGTCCTGCAGAACTGGATGCTCAGCCTGCAGAGGCCAGAAGGGGCTGTTAGTGCTAGGACTAGGGCAGCGTTACCAATGGCCAGGCAGCCCCAAGGCTGAAGCAGTTGCCCTGGGCTCTTCCCAGGGAGAARAGTGCTTCTCAGAGGCAGCACCACTTCAAAACAAGCTGCTGTTATCAGATGAAGCCGATCATGCCTTAACTACTTAAGAACATTTTAAGTATATGGCTAACGATGCACTTCTAACAAAGGTGTGGAAGTCCATGACCCTCAACAGTTCTCTGTTCCTTCAGGTAATTTGCCATTCACAGGGAGGCTCCTGTTGTAGCACTAGCACTGAGGAGATCTCAAGTTCAGTGCATCAGCTCCTTTGCTGGAAGACCTCTAGGTGAAATAAAAGCAGTTTTTTAAAGGTGTCTGAGTGTGCATCAAAGACTGCGCTCATCGCAGCACTGGGGAGGGCAGGTGCAAGAGGTGCCAAACTGAATTGTGCCATGATCCGGTTTGAAACGTGCTCGTTAGGCAGCTCACTTGGGTCTGGACAAGTTTCCCATCTTCCCAGATCCCCATTCTTGTTTTTATCATTCATTTATACACCTTGCAACATCAGCCAGTAGGCCAGACAAACCCCAGTATTTGTCAAGTGCTCCTGTTCCTTCAGGATGCAACTCCCAACTATTTAACAACAAATTCTCTCACAATACCTTTCAACAGCTTCAGTTTTGTCAGGTTTTGCACAGACCTGAGRTTAGACAAGATGGCTATAGAAAGTAAGTGAGGGCGTTTTGCTTCAGAAATGCTAAACTTGCTGGATTTTGCAATATAAYAGTTTGCCACTAAGCTTACACAAGCAAGATAGCAAGACTTATCTCCAGCTTTACTTCTTTGCCATCTTCTTGGGCTTTACATGCTGCACGTGTGGTTTGAGGCCACGTTGCCACCCTGCGTGAGGCAGCTCGAGGGAAGGACCTGTGGGGTCTCACAGTAATCACCAAGCTGTTTCTCCATCCTCAGTGGAAAAGGGCTCTGTCCTGGCAGCCCCATCACAGACTTCTGTGAACACTGCAGGTCAGACAAGCAGCTCCTCTGCCCTGGTACATTCCCAAGCTAGAGAATCCTCAGGAAATGGGCAATAAAGGCACAGGTACCTTCAGATGCAGCACGTTTTCCACTACAGAATTGGACTTTTCATAGCTAAGGTGCTTTTAAAACACATGATTCTTCTCATTGCCCTCCAAGAAACCAACAACTTGTACCACACTGGACAAAAGCAGAATTTACAGCACTCAGKAATCTGTCTACAAAATATTTATTGATAACAGCCACAACACTGAGTTATCCACATACGTAGTTTTTCTGTGACAAAGCATAATTTGACTTCACATATTTACACGYATCTGGCAGATCCCACCTAGGAGTTGAATTCACACCACCAGCTCACACCCAAAGAGAACAGCTTCTTGGAAAGGCTCAACAGGGCCCCAACCTCCAACCAAAGCAGGAAGGTGAAGACTCTTGAAGTGCAAACAGGGCCAGGAGTGGGATTGGGAAAGATGCATTGGGAAGCTTCCAGTTTTCCCAATGAACTGCTACGTCCCCCAGGGCAGAGGCTAGGATATGAACCAAGGATGCAGGAGTCTGAGACAACATCTCAAAGACCAAACTGGAAACCGTTTTCTGCTTGGCTTTACACAGGGCTGGGCGCTGTCAGATACACGAGGACTATTTTTTTATGTTTTGATGCTTCTGGGCAACCCTAAGAGTACAAAAATTGCAGCCCTGACACTTCCAGAGAAGCACATAAGAGTTGGAAGCTAATACCTTTAATCACCTTCCCGTCCTATTTAATTTTATAGACCCAAGTGGTCCTGAATTTTCCCAACTACAGTCGGCACACTCCCATCTTCTGCAGGTGGATGGGAGACGTTCACCATGACGTGAGCCAAAAGAGCTCCTGGCCACTGCATGGGTGGCAAGAGGCCCTGGAAAAGCACCCAGGCGAGTCCTGAACTGCACGTTGGTGCTGCCTTGGGCACGAACCTGTAAATCTATCTTCACCCCAGAGAGCCACCGATGCTCTCACTCTGTGCGTCCTTCTAGATCAGTACTTGGATTAAAGAGAAAAAAAAACATTTCATGCTGCAATGCACAGAGACTTACAACACTGCAAGCAGAAGAGAAGTGAACAAGASGCTTCAGGCCAGCGCAAAACATGAGCAAAGAACGTTTTTAAGAAAGAGAAGGGCCCCAAATGCTTGGGGAAGGTTAAGGAAAACACAGCCGGGGGCTGCCGCTTCACTTCTTAGGGAAGGGACTGGGCACAACCAGACCAGGTTGCAAGACCGTTTGCTACTGAAGGCCAAGGTCAAGCTGTTAAAAYGCACAATCCCCAAGGAGCTGCGTGCTAGGAAGCACTGCTCAGAGACACGAGGAGGAACAGCAGCCAGCAGCCGGGATGCAGCAGGAGCGAGGTCGGGAATGGCTGGGGAGCCCTCGCCATTGGTGGGGACCAAACTACYGCTCTCTCCTCTGCCCTGGCGTTTYGGAGGCGAGGGCAGGACACGCACACCAGGGATGGGGACTCCGGGGAACCTCCGACTGCAGCAGCAGAAGCTGCTTGGCAATAGCACAGGCATYGCCAGCCCGGCCGCTCTTCCCTCCTCTGGCAGACTGACACACCACACACGCCACCATCAGAGAGCGACACTGTCGCTCACCATCAGAGAGCGGCACTGGCAGGGGGAGGTCACAAAGCCCCAAGAGGAACAGGGCCAGATCCAAGCACAGGGCTCCGCGGGCCGCCTCATGCTCAGCAGTCCCGCAGACGACACCGCGCGCCCGTCACAAGCGACCGCGGCGGCTCGACACACACTACGACTCCAGAGGGACCAGCCGTGAGGAAACACTCGTCCTTCAGCTCCAAACGCTCCCACAAGTGCTGTAAGAGTGCAAGGGAAACAAGACAGCGGGAAGCTGCTCTACAGGCTAATTTACTTCTCCAGGGAGGCACGCGCTGCATCACATACAGGGCCCCACAGCTGAGAAACTTGGCCTTAACGTGGAACATCCAGGCCAGCGACCTAAGGGAAAGCAGGAGGGGACTGTTCCGAGTATGGACTGATACTCGGAGCACACAGAACACACCCATTTCCACGTTTGTTTTGTCACCTTTCCAATCTTTTGCATAAGAGAGGGGAAGTGCRTGTGACAAGGTGAGGGAAAGCACCCACCTTGCACCTTGACCCGGCAAGTCCAACCAGGAGTGTTTGCCCAAGGAGGGACACAAGGATACAGCACGTTCACCCCCAGCCTTGCCCAGCCTGTTGCCAGATGCCTCTGATGGGAGCAGTGCTTCAGGAGCCAGGCTTGAARGCCGCCTTGCCAGCTGGTTCATACCATACCCAAGCAAACTCCCATGGAGCAGGAAAGCGTTTCCTTCATCTCCCAAAGGGAGATGACTTGGAGCTGGCTCAGACTGCACATGGGGCAGCTTTTGCATTCAATTCTGGAGGCTCCTCGTGGCAGGAGAAGCGTCGCTCCCCCAATGCTCACCGGGAGCCTGCAGAGCCCGCGACAGGRCACGCCGCTTCCACCGACGGGAGGGAGGCAGCTCTAAACTCTCCAAAGCGGGTTTAATGGAGCTTATTTACAATCCAGGAGGGGACAACTGCATTGGTGAAGGTAAACAGCCTAGACAGCCCACAATACTGGCCCACATCATATTCTTTAATATCTAAAAGTAAAAAAATATGGCCCATTCCCACTACCCTCCCTCCTCCCCGCCAATATTTACAAGTAAGATCAGCCAAGATGATACATAAGGAAGATACATGGGCAGACTGGTTTCAATCTTCACTTGGTTTCTCCCTCTTGCTGCCGTCAGGCTCCTTTATTGCTTGGGGCACTGACCAGACCTCCTCGGCACCGCGTGTGCCTCGAAGAGGCTGCCACAGCAAAGGAGGCTCCTTCAAGCTCTGGCAGTGGAGAAAACCTGGATGTTTTTGCTGCACACTAAAACAACAAAGTGATGAACAGGCCATGTAATGCTTATTTACAATCACAAACTTTCAGCACGTGTTCAGCTGCAAAAAGCACCCAGCATCTACTGATTGAGTTAAAAACAGTCAGCGTTCATGTTTGGCACAGGAGTAACTTGGTGTCAGTAGACCACAATGAGACCAAAGATCCCTGATGGCAGAACACGTGCTTGTGTGAGGGGGAAAACCTCCATGTTCAACCTTGGAACATCAACAACATTGTACATTTACAGGAAAGAAAAAGAGAACACAATTACAGATTATAAACTGCCACAAGCGTTTTATAAATAAACTGGACTCCCTTGCTCAGAAAAAATTACCRTGTCCGTTCCAGCCTCAGGTGGGAATGGGCTGGAGGGTAAGGAAAAGTTGCATGCTGCTTCTGAACATACTAGATGGTTGAGTGGAGGAGTCCTTGCAGAGGAATGCAGCAAATAAAGGAAAGCCATATGGAAACATAACACAGGAGTGGGAGCAATCGAGGAGCGCTAAGCAATTCCAACACTTATCCTTGCAGGCATATGCTGCTGTTAGTGCTAGGGATGTCACCTGGCAGCAGCTGCAGCGTAGGAATCAGTCATCAATAGTTGGCAACCAAAAGGCCTGCAAAAGAGGAAGAATCATCTTGTACAGAGCAGAACACGGGTCTCCCTTGCAGCATGAGTCAGGAGCCCATTGCTGCTCCCTTCCATATARACGAGGGCAGAGCCTATCAAGGAAGCAGCATCCCAGCAGTTTAGATTACAAGCCTTGCTTGCCCTGCTTTGCGCTGCACATTCTCCAGAGCGAGCCAGGCACAAAATGCAAACACATCAGTCACGTTACTACCACCTAGGGACGTGGTATTTGTGGGTGCACCTTCCTCCAGCGCACCCTCATCGTGCATTGGGTCAAGCCCAGCTCTGCCAGGACTCCGGGCTGCCTCGCTCAGTGCAGGGAGCCCTGGCAGGGCCCAGGGCCTTCTCAGCTTTACTTCAAAAGAGCCAGGACATCAATGCACTAGAGGAACTTAACCTTGTCTCTTACCATATTGGAACATGCACTAGCAAAAGTCATGAATTTGGGGTTGAACTGCAGGCAGGTTATGGGACCTGTGTGTTTCCCATCCAGCACAGCCACTTTCATCCCGCTTTCCCCATTCCAAACATGAATCTTCCCATCCTCTGAACCTGCAAGCAGGAGTAAAACAAACAAAACCAAGTTCAAGACACAGAAGATACACTGGAGAGCTCCACACACAGATCACCATGTGACTTGTTAGGCACAAAATCAAACCAGAGGCTTTGGTTTGAAGGTAAACAGATAGCACCACATGATGCTGACTAGCAGCAGCTTCATTAGAGACATCACTGCCCTAATGAGTTCAGCAGGGCAGGCTTTTCATTTTGATCATCATGCTGGCATGCTGTCACTGTAACAGTGATGCACTCAGGAGCTGCATGCTTAGCATTTTTACAATTTAACTCTATTTTAGTCTCATTTTAAGTAGGACTGATAATAAAAAGTGCACAGTATTTTCTTCTGCTTCCGTATATTTCTCCATATGGCCTCCCAGAGGAAAARAAACAAGCACAAGTTACACCTTAAGCATAAGTAAAAAGTGAATGGAAGAAGCACTTTAGATTTTTTTCCTACTACAGTTTTCATTTGGAAGGAGACAATGAGAAAGTTCCTAGCCAGAGGAAAAAAAAAATTGCCAAGACTATCACTAGCCCAGGGTAAAAAGGGGTCAGCCTATCAATTACCACCAAATTRAACATATTTGACATACCAAGTAGAGCCATGAGCAAATAAAGAATAAGTGCCTAGAGGGACAACACCCCACATATGGGAGCATTAGGCTGAGGGCAGTGCACACCCATGGGCCCAGCCAGTAGCAACAGGTATGACAGGAGCTGCAGCTCCTTCTTGCCACCCATCTCCCTCAGAAACCTTTCTGCAAAGCAAAAAACCCATGCAGCTTAGGGTTGCGTTGTATTATTTAGATATATTCTGTTTCCCAGAGACACCGTCTTAGTCCTAGGCAACACATCTCGTTGCAGAGCGCTCAGATGCTAAGAATATCATCTTACCTATCATGATGAACTGAGAGTCTGGCGTGAAGGATGCCTCCAGCGTGACAGCCTTACTGTTGTTATACCCCTGTTAGGGCACAAAACAGGAGAACATGCAGCAGGGAGCGTGTCCAGCAAAGGGCAGATTCCTCTCTGGGGCCCTGCAGAGCTCGGAGGGCACACAGGAGCAGGGGGGCTAATGCTTTTTGGTGATAATAGCCTAAATTTACCTTTTCCTCACCGAGGAGGAAACAAATGTGTACCTAGAGACACAGCACAAGCTTTTAAAGTGGAAACAGAGGTTCAAAGAATGTCCTGAATTGAAAATAAATCAGATGACCTGTTAGCACATATGTTAAGCAGCCCCCTTTAAAATCCCTACCTTGTCATTCCCAACAGGAAGGGAGACAAGACTGAGCCCACCATGCAAAGACCATCTTAGCTGTTTGCCACTGGGTTCACATCAGCCCCAACAACCTCTTAGCACTAAGTTTCAAGCAGGTAACACAGAAAATGTGCTCACCCCGAACGTATGCAGGACAGCTCCTTTGAAAGCATCAATCAGTCGAATGAACCCTCCGTTGGTTGATATGAGGATGAGTTTGCCATCATTACTGAACTTCAAACCTGTCCACTCGCATGTTCGGTCATACTGCATCTTAAAAGTAGCAAATGGACCCTTCAAAGAGGAAAAAAAAGGAAAAATGACAGACTGCCTGCATCACTGCTCATAAGAGGCTACTGTTACTGCTAACAAAAGAAAAGCTTACGATTTTTTGAAAAAACTGAATACTCTTATAGAAAAGAGCACAAGCCAAAGAAAAACATCACAGCAATAACCTGCCACTGTGTATAGGTTTCAAAATGTATAAAACCCTGGCTTTCCAGGGCCGTCATCCAATACTTCAGACTCCCACAGGAGATGCACACAACCATGGTTCACTGCCAGTCAAGTTCCAAGAGAATTCAACTCTACTACATCCAAAAGAAGAAGTTTAAGGCACGATTAAGCTTTCATTTTCAAACAGGGTTGCTTACTGAAGCTAGACTAAGACCTTGTTCCACAGTTTCAGAAAGTCAGATGGCAGTAACACCGGCTCAAGYTCTGTTTGGTGCTTAGCCAGTTCAGCTGCCCACCCCATGATCATCTTCATCTTTCCTGGTGTTCTTCACCAAAGAAAACCCCTCAACCCAAACAAAGATCTGAAGCAAGTTCAAGATCTGGCTGAAGAAAACTTGGGCCTGGAGCAAATTTCAGGATCTGCTAAAAGCACCAACTTGCCCCTACTTACTTACCAARAACCTCCAGGTGCAGCTAGTGGTGACCCAGTGTTTCAAGCAAATCTAGATGCTGAGTGGTGGGTTTAGCTACTACTTCTTGGAAGCTAAAAGGCGTAAGAAATGAAGTGGGCATATCTCACCTTGTCAAAAGAGCGGAGATCATAAAGCTTYACCATTTCAGAATTGACTCCAGCGGCAAAAATCAGTCCCTCTGGGTCAAAAGAGCACACAGGCTTCCCCTGGAGATGCATTAGGCCCTAAAAAGCAGAGTGGTACAGCTTATTTCACTAAGGGGATGCTCTCATTTCCAACAACTCCCTTTGATCCCACTGTGAACAGGACAGTAGCCTAGAGGCTGAAAGCTGCACTTCTATCACAAACAGAGAGTTTGACAAAAATTTCAGTTTCTCAAAGTCAAACAAAAGTAACTCTGGCAGTAAGGCATCTAATACAACCCACTGCAGGCAGGACAGCCGCGACCCCTCTGCACTTGCTGCACGACGGCTGCCATCCCATGGGCAAATGGAGAATGACAAGCGACACGTCCCAAACCTGCTTCCCCAACTTTCCAGGATGCAGCTTCTAGCTGCAAGTCCCAGCTCTGCTGGGCTCAATTTCAAGCATTAGCATCAATCATAGAACTGCCGAGGAATTTACCATTTTATCTGYTGCAACTCCTACTCTGAGAGGCATTACAAAGTAAATTTACACACGAGCAAGGAGATTGAGCAGCTCATTTTTGCCCCTAGAAAAGGGTGAAATTAAGATTTCTAGGTTAAAAAAAAGCTTAAGGTAAACCAAACTGTTTTGTGAGAAACGTAATTTCATTTTGCACCTACAGCTGTACCAGCTGGARTCAGTAACTGTCCCTCTTACCACCTGGTCCCACTAAGAAAGGGGAATACGACAAAAGTACAGTATTTCTCAGTCCACACAAGCCTGTTTCCAGCAAAGAACCCCACACCGTATTCCCGCAAAATAAAAGCTGAATAGTTTTTTGCTTCATTCAAAAGTTAAGTCTGTTCACAAATAGGTGACACCAATAAAAGAAGGTGGGACAAGCAGTGAACAAACCATACCGCAGCTGTTTTAGACACCCCAGTTTCTTTATTGCATTTAATGGCTTTGAGATAATGATTTGGAGCACAAAATCACTACGAACACTCCAAATAAGTCTCTCAGTTCCTGTTCTGTTACCGTTCCCAGGCCAGGAGAGATGCCCGCTGGAAGAGCACACTCACTGCATGGTGTAGCAGCCTGATTAGCAAGCTGATGACATCCAGCTCTTCTCTTGTTTCATCAGCTCTGGGAGCTACTTCTTGCTCTTCCCAGTGCCTCTCCAGCACAGAGATAAGGGTCAAAGTGACTAATGTGACTAACATTTCACAGGGATTCACGATCCAAATTCATTCAGCACCGCAGGGAGCTGTCAGCTCTAACTCTGCAGTCTATGTTAGAGTCGCAGCGTCTGTTTATGAGGCAAGCACACAGCCATTGCACACCCTTCTAACCAAAAGAAGGCTCCCTAACGCACAAACATATACCCAYGAACTTGATATCCTACCTGGCAGTTTGGAGAGCGGAGATCCCAAAGTCGAATAGTTTTATCGAGGGATCCAGAAATAAAAGTATCATCCACTGGAGACATTGAAAGAGCAACCACTCTGTAACACAGAAGAGCACACRTATCAGGGACCTCCTGATGCAACATCCAGCCCAACAGCTCCATGCAAGTTTCTAATTCCTTATGAGCACTATTCTACCAAGAGAAGGAGCCTAAACGGAGTCTAACACAACACCTACTCATTACAACCATTATTTTGATCTCTGCTGCACTGTTTTGCAGATGACATCTCACCTTTTCGTGTGCCCCGGGAAATATCGGATGTATTTGTTGTCGTGCAGCGACAGGTATCGTATTGTATCTGCAACCACAAGCACAAAACACGAGCCTTATTACACCACGAGCGCAAGCTGCCCTGTAAACCTGCGCCCAACAGCACCAGGCTCTCACCACACTGAGTAAACCTGGCCCCTTGACTTCAGGTCTGACTCAAACAGCATCAAGTTCAGAAGAGTCATAAAGCAACATGCTTTCCAAAGGTGAGAGTGGAAAGGAAGGATATTYCCCACAGTTCAAAGACATCAAAATCTACAAACTGCCACATGATTTTTAACAAACTCACAGAATGGTTGAGGCTGGACGGAACCTCTGGAGACCATTCAGTGCAAACCCTCTACTCAAGCAGGGTCAGATGGCCAGGACCCTTCTGAGGCTCTTCCRAGGATGGAGTCTCCCCAGCCTCGCTGGGCAGCCTGCCCCAGTGCTCTGTTACCCTCAGAGTAAAGAGGCTTTTCCTCATGTTTGGGCAGAACTTCCTGATTTTGAGTTTGCGCCCATTGCCTCTTACTGRGTACCACTGAGATGAGTCTGGCCCCATCCTCTCTACACCCTCCTTTCAGATACTTAGACACCGACAAGATCCCCCTCTGATTCCACCTTCTCTTCTCCAGGTTGACAAGTCCAGCCCTTGGCCCTTCCTCACATGAGAGATGCTCCAGTCCCTTAACCATCTTAGCAGCCCTCCACTGGGCTCCAGTAGCAAATTAYAAATTAACTTGTAAAGCATTAGAAGATTTTATTCCATCATTCTCACAACACGTGGACTCTACAAAGTGAATACTACCACCTTTATTTATTATTTTGTCTCCAGGCAAACCGTAAGCATAGGAAATGYGTGAATTCCAGCACTTAGCCAGAGAGGAGATACAATATGGACTGCAAAGCCAGGACAGGAACACTAAAAAGTAAAAAACTTTTCTGTTTAAGGCTTTTATCTAATAATCAACATCTTTATGAACTCTCTTCATCTATTCAAAAGCAATCTTGAGAGGGGAACAGAGAGAAGAATTTTGGTTCTGTGACAAAAAACACTCTCAAATTACCACTTTTTCCCTGAAACTTCCCATCCTGCTGAGATCAGAGTTCCGCACTATCCTCTAATATTTGACAACAAAATTAAGGGCAATTCATCAAACAGGAAACATCATCTGACTACATGCCATTCTAGAAGGCTCTAAAAGGCTTAAACGACTATTCCTAAACATTAAGACACAGAAACAAGTCTCACATTCTGACATGGCTGGATGGGACATGCTCCCTGCAGGCTGCTAACGCATCTTGTTTTCCTGCAGGGACTGTCATTACCTGCTTCCAGAAGGATCCGTGCAGAATTTGGGCATCTTCTCAGAGGAGGCCCTGGGGCAATGCAGCTGAGACGGTCCCCGGCGGCAGCGCTCTGTCCCAGGCAAGGCAGTGGCCTGTACAGTTATCTCCTGTACCGGGTGGTATCATAGACCCTCAAACTGTACAAACTACTACCTCAGCCTGGGAGCAGGCAAGAGCGGCTCGGCTCACGGGTCTGCAGAAGCTCTTCAGAAATAAACAGATCGCTGCAACTCCAACATAACCCCAGTGTTTGGGAGCAAGTGCCAGCCCTCCTACTACACAGGTGGCTTCGTTTTCCCCCTCTGATAACTTCAAGGTAGGCAAAATGCAACACATCTTACCCCAAAGTGCTTCTATTAGACTAGTACTAGAGCATCYGGACCCCTGATGCACTGATAGCTTTCATTAGCCTTGCAGTTAGTACAAGCAACAAGTATTTTCACACTCTTCCTTCTATTCTCACTAAAGATTTACAATAATGCTGTTCTGAAGGACAAAAACTGAATTTCCGATTGCAAGACAATGACTACAAAACAATACTGAGAGAATCTGAAACATTACAAAGAAGTATTACTGCATAGAAGAATTTTTGAATGCAACTGGACAAATTGCTAAATTTGAGTTTTTAATTAAAACTCAAATAGAAATTAATACATAAAAACCTGCCACGAAGCTCCAGAAGCCCTTTAAAGTCACCGATTTACAGAATCGGTCACAACAGTGACCACAGAAAATAGGGCATGGAAACAGCTGGTTTGCCTATCTCTCTCTCTCTCTATATATATAKATTTTTATATTTATATATATATACACACACACACAAAGACATATGCAAAAATCAGTGGGGCAAATGAACTGAAGCAAAACCAGCAGGAAGAAGTCCGTGATCTGCCGTGGCCTTGGCTGGCCATTTGCTGATTTACCTGAACATCCAGCTGTTTAAGGAGAAAGGAAAAATACCCCCTACTCCCAGCTAACTTGGGAATGCTCCAGGGAAAGCTCTCCCTATAGCCCCTCTGGGCACATGCTCCTCCCTCCTCATCCCACGCGGTGAGCAAGGCACTGCAGCTGCCTGGCTGAACCGGTATTAAAACAGCAAACCMAACTGCAGAGCTCAGGACAGAACTTGCATCTCACTGACAGGGTTTAATCCCTTAGTTTTCATGGCACTGAACAAGACTCGTGTTAGCATCCTCTAGGCAATTCCACTGCCTCRTGCACTGGAGTCAAATATTATATCCTCTAACAGCATGTTTATCACCTAAATGTTGCTGTAAAATCACRTCCAGCATTTTATTTATCTGGGCACTTACCATCTATTTTGTTGGAGCTGTAGACCACCGTGTTGGCAGCGTGCGTGTATCTGATGAGGTCCACTCCATACTTCTTGCTGTACAGAGTCCTCTTGGGTCTGCCAGAAGGAAGCAGAAAGAGCTGCACTCGCTGCAGAAGCTCAGACTCACCACAGCAACAATACTAGACCATTTGAAGTAGTCAGATGCTTTCGTGAAAGAAAAACATTTATATTTAATTGCCAAGCAAGGCCCAAGGCTCAAAGAGTTTCTTACAACACCTCCAAAATTCATCAACCTCCTTCAAAAAATTCCTTTCCCATGATGTCTACCGTAAAGAGTTGGAKGGCCTAGAATAATGAGCCCTTCATGTCAAACAGCACTGCCTCATCATTTGCTTGCCCTTCAAAATCTCCATTTTTTCTTCCATTCTTTTCCCCATTCAGAATAATTTGGTTGGGCACAGGGATTGCCGTTTTGTTTTCTGTTTGTTCAAAACCTAGACCGGAGTGTCTGGCTCAGAACCAGGGCTTTTTGTTATCAACACAACCGCGTACATCTCATTAGTCTAAAAGCACCAGCATGATTTTCAACTGCTAGACAATGGTACTCAAAGCCCAACCTTCATCAGAGTACAAAACTCAAACGTAGCAATTAAAAACATTCTAATGAGAGCTATGACGACCTAAAGTACTGGACTTTTAGGGGTCTGTAATGTGCAAAGGGAAGTACTGCAATAACAGACATGCAGGTGCAAAGCCACGTTAGAAGCAGCAGTTTAAGCACATCTTTGTGCAGCAGTGCAAGCTCCTCAGCACCCTGSTGCCCCAACTACAGTCGCAGAGCAGATGCTGAAGCTGGGCAGCAACCCAGCAAGCGATGCTCATCAAGGTTAGCAATAACACAGAACTATTTTTAATCTAAAACTTCCTAGCTCTCGTTATTACCCAGCCCCACGGATGCAAGCTGAGGATGGCGTGAGAACGGAAGCAAACAGCAGGAGCCCTTTGAACCGAAGCTGCTGCCAGAGGCATAGCTCAGGCTACACACCCTCACACACGAGGTCTCTAGGATGCGTCACTTTCTCTCCTTGTTCTCATTAGCCTGAAGTCGACCCACCCAAACAGGAGCAGGAGATGCAAGCAAAAATAGTCCTTTAGTCTTTACAGATTAATCCTTGCAGAGTAGAAGTCACAGGGACAGCCTTTGGGTCAATTTGTCAGAACCAAACTTCAATAAGTCAAAGTCTATACAGGAAAAGTAACCAAAAGGTCACTATACATTAGCCATATCACTCCAAATCTCCACAGGTTCTTCCTCAGTTCCTTCCAGTAAATTTTCAAAGTTCAAAATTTGACAGGTGCAACCATGCTACAGACAGAAAGCACAAATATATGTGCTTTAAATTCAGGAACCAATGTTCTCTAGCACCATATCTAAGGCACTTCCCCATTCTGCTCTTTGTGGTTACCTGAGCTATCCACATGCAATTTACTTTTATTTATTTATTTACAAATACCAAAACCACACGCCTGCTCTGTTTCCTCCTTATCCGTGAAGGGTTTAAAGCTCAGAAGCACTAATCACAAGAAAAACACAGGTTACTGAGACACCTGTGAGACACCCGAGTAAAACAACCAGCAAAGGTGGCACAACACAGGAGCAAATTACAACTTCCTAGTAGCACCCAGAGCTCAGACCCAACTCCTTGGAGCTTAACGAGACAAAAAAGAAATAAAGGAAAAAAAAAAGAGACAAAATAAGGAGTAGTAAAAACCTTCATAACTTGCTCTGTTCTAGGATAGACTTGATTTTTTTCTCATGTTTTATGTTACAATTGTATTTTCCAATTGGTGACTGGACAAACGAGCTGAGTTTGCAAATTTCTCTCTCCACATTATTTAAAATAATGTGGTACAACATACCCATGCAGATGCACACACACCCTGAATTGTAAAAATAACATGATAAATGGTCTGACTTCTTCCTTTTTAACTAGGGAGGGGCAATCCCTTAAACCTGAGAATATACATAAAGATATTAACAAGAAACAGACACAAGATTTTACCAAAGAGGAGGAAAGGGAATGTTATTTCCCTTTCCCTTTCAAAGGGAAAGGTGAAATTTCCATGGAAGCTGGCAAAAGCAGCAGCGTGCCACTTTGCACACCGCACCACCTGCTTGCAATTTACCACTAAAACATATACAAAAATGAAAGCTTCAAGTTTTGTACAGTTTTAAACAAATTGCTATCACTAAACATAAGTCCAATTTAAGGTGAATATATCCAACTCATGTGAAAAAAAATTAAGAAATACCCCTGAAGCAAAGTTCTTTAGAAGATAACTGTCAAGTACACTATAAAGCAAAGGCAAGATTTGTAAGAAGTAGTGTCCATGCCTTGGCTTTAAGCACTACAGGTAGAATGGATACAACCATCACGCCAGGCTCACYGATACAGCCACCGCATGCTGTGGTTAGGCAGGAGTCAGGGCAGATCCATGCTTTCCGAAACGGGAAGCACTGGCTTCCACTGCCCTACAACCCTTGGRCCCCAGGCTGGGCACACTATCACCAAAACAGTGCTAGAAGCTGCAAAGACCTAAGGAAAGGCCAATTTTCAAACAAAACCCCGAGCATAAATAATATACAATTGAAAATCTCATCACTAGCATTCATCTTTCAAGCTTGCTCTCTATACAAAATAGAAAAGGTGCTGTTTCAAGGAGAGAATCTTGTCCTGGCATTTGCTGACCAACACTGCTGTCCTCACGCACTTAGAAATGGGCGTCCCCCCTAGACGGTCTTGCTTACACTGGGAAGAGGACTCCCTTCTCCCTGAGATTTATTCTGAAATGGCAAAGCAAGCAGACAGGCACACACATACTTAAAACAGAACTGAACAAGGTGCACTTTTGAGTTTCTCAGCTGTACTCTTAATATAAGGAAACAAAATGCGAGAAAAATCAAAACTTTGCCACTGTTAAACTGGAAAAAGTTTACCACTTAGGCCACCTTTATTACACCAAAAGCAGAAAACTTTCTTCTGTGGGCCCTTAAATTCATTAGGAATAATACCTAAGACGACAAGAGATTCAGACCTTTAAAACACTGGTTTAATTAAACGACAGGCGAGAACCTATCATRTTCTGCCACATCACAACAATGATCATTCACTGGTTCAATTTTTCATCGTCACAAGAATCTCCTGGGACAGAGTAATTCACAGCCCAAACTTTCTAAGGTGAGAAAAAAGCGTCTCCTTCGTCCCTAGACACCTCCAAAATCACATCTAGGGTTTGAAGTCAGTCGATAACACGCGAGCAGCATCCAAATTAACCTTGTAGCCACTGCAGAAAGGCACCCAAACGTGGGTTACCTTGCTCAAGCTGCTCTCTTTGCCCTGTAATACTGCAGTAAGGGACCATCRATCTTCTATGCCTCACTTAATTAAAGCAAATCCTTTCACTGTAGAGCACAYGCCAGGACTGCATGGAGAGAGGAATGAAAGGACCAAATGCTTCCCRACCCATCAAGTTGTTCTTTACAAGTTGGAAAAGGGGAGAAGGATCAATAGTATCTGCATTAAGAGCACTCAGTCCTTCTGCTGTTGTATGTGATTAGGACCTCGAATACTGCCCATGGCAGACAGCATCTCTATTACGTTACCTGTTCTTATTTACACAAGAAAACCATTTCAAATTAACATTTGCTGTATATCAGGGAGTGGCAAGAACGTTAACCTGCAAAGCAAACAGTCCGAGCAAGTATAAAACAACGTACAATAAAGAGTGCACCAAATAAAGAGACTAAGCAGAAGACAGGCCGTCCAACGCAGCAGGTACAAGGTCCTGGTCTGCTTGAGCAAGCAGACGGATGAGGAAGGCAGGATGACCATAAAACACACGCAACACCCACACACCTACCCTGGGCACTCCTAAGCAGGGTATTTCTCGCTCCTGTTTTGCCACCCTGCCCTATCCATCCTCTTTCCTACAAATGACACSTTTTTCTTTCATTTATTACATGAATGTGATGCTGTCCACTCTCATCTGCCCAAAAAGTCCCTACACCAGCAGGAACGTTAAACATAATATAGAAGGATTTAGATGAGCCGAGCACATAGTTGCACCAAACACAGTGACTTCTTTGCAATCGCTGCTTCTCTTTGCATCATTCGCAGCTTTTAAATTCATTATTGCTTGAGATATACCAAGAGACCAACCGCCTCGGTTCCCCAGGCTGAATTCCAGGCTCGGCATCCACCTCTCCACTGCACCTCGCAGCTTGGGCTACAAATCAGTACCCTAAACATGCAAATATCTTTTTAACAGCTCAAAATTACCCAGACACTACGCTTTTAATGGAAAAACGGCCTCATTTGGCTCCAATTGCCCCAACTCACAGGAAATATAAATGCTTTGCGGTTATTCTATGATATAAACCATAACAGTTACTGATTCTCTTTGCCTATTTGCAGGCCCTGGGCAAGACTGACGTATTTCCAAGTGCTTCCCTGGGCAAGAGTGACGTATTTCCAAGTGCCGAGTAAACTACAGCATTTTGTCCAAAAGTTGGGGCAAAGATTGTGCGAGTAGTGAAAGAAGAAGGATAAAGGGCATGACCGCATCCAGTGAGAAATAAACACACCATAGTCCATTAACAGCTCGTTAATAACGGCAAGATTAGTCAACCAGGATATTTACTGTCCCGTTGTGAATTCAGGGCAGTTCTGGAGCTTAAAACCGGCTTAAAACACGGCTAAAAAAAAGGGGGATTTGGGGCAGGCAGCACCCGCTTTACCCCAGCGGGTGGGACCCGGTTTGGGGGGCGCTTTCGCCCCGGATCCCCAGGGCTGCCGGGGGGGCAGGGGGGGGGCCCGGGCGGACATTTCCCCGCCGGTCCCGCCCCCGGTGGCCGTTACCGCCCCCAGCCCCGGCGGCCCAGGCCGAGGCGCCGGGAGGAGCGGGCCGCGCCGCCCGCGCCCGCCACTCACTTGCCCTCCTGGCAGTCGTAGAGCACGATGGAGTCGTCGTCGCTGCTGGAGATGACGGTCTCGCCGTTGGGGCTGAAGTCGAAGCAGTTGATCTTGTCCGAGTTCTCGCGGAAGACCTTGGCCACGCGGAAGCTCCGCAGCACGTTGTCGGTGAGCTTCATGCCGCCGGGGCCGCGGCGGGGGCGGCGGGGAGGCGGGCGGGGGCGGCGGGGCGCGCGGGCCGCTCAGGCCGCGGCGAGGCGGCTCCTCCGCATTGTGTCCGCCATCTTGTGCGCCGCCACGGGCGGGGCGCGCCGGGGCTTTGTGGGAGAGCGGCGGCGCGCGCGGGGGCTGCCGGGAGGGAGAAGGGCGCGGGAGTGGGGCGGCGGCGGCCATGTTGAGTGTGGCGCAGCCCGCGGCGCCGCCTGTCACTGTCGCCTCGGCAGTCACTGTAGTCGCAAACACACAGTGCCCGCACGCCCGCGCTTCCCTCCACGACCCGCTCCCCTCATGCCACGCCCGTTGGTTGGATGGCTGGCCGCAGATGGCGACAAGGGCGCCAGGCCACCGCCATGACGCGGAGCAGGGCCGCGGGATCCACGCGCATCACCTCCCGCTGCCCTCGTGCCCGGAGCAGCCTCTGTGGCGGTCCCGCAGTCACTAGTGTCACGGTGGCAGCAGGCCAAGCGCCTCAGGACAGCGTCCAGGGAACAGGCCCTTTGCCGCCGCCTTCGATATTTTACCCTTTTTTTTCCCGTTTTTTGCTCTGTTTTGTTTCTTATCCATAGGGAAATGGGGCTCAGGGTGGGCTGCAGAGCCGCAACAGCTCCTAGTGTTTATCCATAGGGAAAATCCCCATGGATCCCGCCCTCAAAGCCAACCAAGCGTTCAGCTCCATCACTTGAGACGTAGCTCCCTTATTTATCTGCACCCACTCCGACTCTGGAATCCCCTTTCCTTTAATATCCACACGTTTCCTTTAATATMCACACGTTTCCATTTCAAGCACAATTCTCCATGTACAGTAATATCTATCGGGCCCTTAGACATTTCCCCATTAGAATTTCCCATAACCTGATATTTTAATTTTAGGAGAATACCCAACCTTTCTTAATTTCAGCCCCTGAGAAGCTTAAAACCCAAAGGAAGAAATAAAAACCCTAGATGCCTTCACATACGTTSACTGCATTTTTCTTTCATAGTCTCCAGAACAGAGTTTGCATTTGCTTTGAGAATAATATTGCCCTCCCGTGGTCAAACAGTGGTAAGTCTGGCGAGTTTTGTGAAAGGTCTTTTCACATGTCACTCAAATACAGTTAATTATTGCATGTGTGTGTGTGTGTCATTTGGTGAAACAAAAGGCTTTTCCGTGCCTGCTTTCTCCTGCGGCTTGTTTACTGCAGCTCGCATTAGAGATTTAGGTCGCCTCTAGTCCAGTTCATCTTTTATTCCCTGGTCAGACTGGCCAGACAGCGTGATTCAAGGAGCTTTCTTGTGAAATGAATCAAAGAGTTTGAGACTAGAGTCCAGGAAGACTCAAAAAAGACACTTTTATTACCCCCGAGGGTGTCCGGGTCAGCTCCCCCACGGCAGGTCAGCCTAAACTCTAAAAGATACCTCCGTATAATGAAAGATGKTAGAGAAGTGCAGAACAACATTCCTCCTGCACGCTGCAAATTGTAAGATCAAAGCCTGGATTATCTCATGTGGGCCCAGAAGATGACTCATCAATACCATCATAAGACAATTTACTTCAAAACACCTACAACACTTAGCCAAGTTTGAGAGTTGTATAACACTGTGGGTTGTTGATTTGGTATTTTGTCACTCCCTTTTTCTTCTTTCCCCTGCCTTTCTTCCTAATCACTGGAACTTAGTTTGTCAGTTTACACCAAGCTGGGATTTAATTGGCAGGATAATTGGATCTGCTAGCGAAATGTCATTATTATGGAGGAATTATGGATAATGCCCCTGCGAAACTAGTTAATGGAAAGGAGGTTTAATTGCTGCTTGAGTAATATTGATCAAATGCAGGGATTCTACCTATGCATTTATGTATTACTTATCATTGTAACCTTATCTACACAATGCAAACAGTTCTGTGCTTGATTTGCCCGGATAATGGCTATGAATTTCAGGGAGAGTCGGGGTAGATTACGTCCACCCCTCTCCCTTGCTCCTATAGCGAGGCCAGCCGTAATTGCAACCCTGTGACTGCTTAATATTCCCGGCTCTTTCTCCTTTTTGTGTCATTTCCAACTGAAGAGCTCATAAATTTTTGCTATTATTCCCAAAGAGCATGACCTTGTATGCTGCAGTGCTGAATTTCACCCCCTTCCTATTATTCCAGTCCTCAAGGCTGGCAACTTTTCATCTTCTCTAGAATGCTATGATCCTTCTCCTGTATTTTAAATGACTGTCAACTTTGATTGCAATTTGACTTGGAACGGGGAGCTTGAGAAATTGCAGCATGAAAGGCAGGAGACTTGGCATGGACTTGGCTTCAGGGAAGTGCTGTTCTGCACAGAACTTCAGAAGGATTTCTCTAGCATTTTTTTTTCTCCTTCCTTACAATCCCCAGCACATGGGAAAATCATTTCCAAAAGGTATATTGGGAGTGAAGGGAGTGTGACCTAGAAAAACTAGTAAGATGCTTATGTCAAAAACAGTTAATTTTTTTTACTAATGATGCTGATACATACATATATATATATATAATGCTGAACAGAACATTAATCTTCCCTRTGTTTGGCCTTAGGCTGCGTTCCCCATCGAAGGCAAAGAGACCCTGTTGACTCTCTCCTGGTGAGTAAATCAATCATGAGAGCAACATATTTCTCTTTCCAAGGAGCGTACAGAAAACAGTGTATTGGAAATTAGGCCTCCTGGGTTTCCAGAGCTCAGCATATCCTTGAAGGAAGGTGCTCGGACTCCATCCTTTCCCCCTTGCCTGCCTAGCAGACCTGCTATGGAGCACTCTGGTCTAATCGTGTCGCTTCTCTCTGTGTCACTGTCCTTGGAGTGACCGCTGCAGGAATGCTGTGGTGACCAGAGGGGACAGGGATTGTCCCTGTCCCCTGTCCCCATCCCTGTTGGGCACAGAACTCGTCCTACCTGAGCAGTGATCAGTTGGTCCATCTCTCCTGCAGGTGTTTTATCTCTTGTAATGAGACCGTGTGCTAATTTTATGCAAATCCGTGTGGGGATTAAGAAAATAATCAAATTCAAAAATTTTCATTTAAAGAGATTAGTCTTGAAAAATCCCCCACTTAATCCTCCCGGAATAGTCACTTGGAACGAACCTTCCTCTCCTTGTTTTCCTCCTGGGTCCTGCTCATCTCCTGGCAAACTTTCTCCAAAAAACGCTTTTGGGACAGCAGGTTTGATTTTGAGCAAGGCTCACCAGGCAAATTAAACCTGATACATCAAGCGATCGAAAAGACGTGTCAGTAAGTGGGAACCTGGGAGTTAAATGCAGCAGAATCTGAGCTCTGCTGTACTTCATAGGTAAACTCCCTTGATAACGCATGAAAAATGGAAGAGTTAAGCCTTGGTGAGCTTAATGATAATTTAGGTACCAAGAGGCCCGGAGAAAGTCATGCAGCAAGAAAAACGAGTAGCAGGAGACCCTGCTAAGACTTGCTGTAACTGCTATTTTAGCTCTGTAACAGGGATGTCATCTGTCTTCTGCACCACGAGCTCAAATTATGCTCCAGCAACTGGGGCTCGGTCCAAAGGCATCTCCGGTTTTCCCTTCTGGTGCCCTTGGGGATCTGGGGCTCTGTGCACGGGGGACCCGCCACCAAGTTATCCCAAGGGGATAAATCCAGAGCAATCCCAGTGACGTTAACCAGAGACTAACTTAGAGCCGTGAAGGTGCCACCTAAGTGAGGCTTCCCATTGCATTAATACTCAACATCCTCGGACCTTGCAGACCTTTGGGATGTGTGATTGGATCAGCCTGCACCAAGCCCGATTGCTTTGACTTTAAAGAAAAAAAAACCACAAGCCCATGATGTAAATCCATSCATTCCATTTTGGGGGAAAAAAGCCCCTCCTGGAGTAGCTGAGCCCCTGGAAGGGAGCATTTTTCTGCCTTTTTCTGCTGTGGAGTGAAGGGCTGGCTCGTTTTGCCCCTTGCTTAGCTCATTTGTGCACTGTCTTTGCCTGTGTCCGTGCCCTCGGTCTCCTGCCACCATCCATCCAATTCACCTGCCAGCTCCCCACGTCTCCGGGGCTGGATTCTTTCTGTCCTCCTCCGACATTGGCTCCATGCCTGCCAAATTGCTTTAATTAAAAAGTTAATGAAAGATAACGCGAGCAAGTATTTGGCTTGTGCTTTAGCGCAGTCCAGCTCCTCTCCCTCCCTCTTTCCCAGAGAAAGGGAAAATCGGGAGCTGGGTTTTTGCTGCGAGAACTAACACGGGAAGTTGCTGCAGACTTAGCCCCGTGCAGAAAGGGCAGCAGCTCTTTGCAAACGAGCAAATATTACTCATTAACAAAAGCCGAGGGAGACGAGGGACACGAATCCAGGAGAGTCGCCTCGCCAGCCCCTTTCCCGTAGCTTCCTCCAAGAGGAAGGAGGAGGTGGCGGGGAAGCGAGGCTGGCGCGAGGATGGCAATTCCCTTCTCCCCAAACCCGGACTGTCGCTCCCGACCGCACAGGGCTGCCGTGGAGTTTGTGATTATCCATTAACCGCTCGGGATAACCGCCGGAACAGGGAGACCTCTGGACCTGCGGGCTCTCCTGGAGCGGGCCTCGTCCCCGAGCGGGAGAGGGGGGGAACGGGCAGGTAACAGGGACACCGGCAAGCCGGGATCGCTGCCCCYTGGGCACCGGGATCCAGCAGGGAACTTGGAGGAAGGAGAGGAAGGGAAGGAGGGAGAAATGCCGCACGGGGCAGGGAGGAGGGGAGAGACTCTGTGTTTCTGCTCATAGTTAAGGTAAGAGCCGAGGACCAGCTCCTGGCCAGGATGAGAAAAATCCCTCGGGATGGGAATTTAACACGGAACGAGATGCAGGAGCAGCCGGCGCCTGATGCCGCGGTGCCCGCAGGCGGGAGCAGCGCCATGTCCCTGGCGGAGCAGGCGC